ACAAAACAATTTTAACTTAATTTTAAAAACTATTATTTTTCATAAAAGCTTCATAATAGTTTTTAAGTTAAAAAAAAGTTAAGCCAATTAAGTTTTAAATATAAATATTCAATTTTCATTACTAGCATATTTATGTTTCTCATATTATAAAAAATTATTTCACAACAAGCATAACTTGTTTAATAATGAAAGTCAGCAAAATGAGTAGTATTACTATACCATACAAATAATAATGAAAGTAATCTTAGACAAGTAGACGAGGTTTACAAGTTAGTTTCATTCTTGATATGTTCTAAAGAGCTTAAGTTAGTGGTTTAGATATGAATATAGTTAAGACAACTTTTTCTTAATTTTTTTCTAAATATAACTATTTTTTCCTCTTCTCTTTTATTTTTTTTCTCTTTTTATTTTTTATTTTTACTTAAGAAAGAGTCTCATTACACCTTTAATGTCAATTTTTTAGAAAAGTCCACTACTCTTAATGGTCATTTCTTAGAGAAAAATTCATTACTCCAAGATACATAATGCCTATTATGTGCGTTTAAGCATTTTTCAATAACTGTTCTTAAGTAATTGTTTTTTCCTTAGCACACACTCTTTTTTGAAATTTTCCCTCTCAAATCATGTATTTACCGATTATCTTCTTTATTCAGTGTCTTACTTTGCCACTTACCTATTATGTGCACTTTATTCATTACTATTTGTCACAACGTTCAAAACATCAAGAATTACTTTAATCTTTCTCCCTATTACATCTAGCACATCGTATTTTACTTATTTGCAACACTATATCTCCCTCTATTAGAATAACCCCACTACATTTTGCACAACTTCACTATAGTGGAACATTTGCACTAAGTAAAATTTTACTCAAAAACCTTGCATTATTAGAAGAGATTAACATTATCACCAGCAACTAAGATACATTTATTCTTATAAACATTGACTTACACTTGAGAATAAGATAATCACAACCTCATCTCAATAACATATCAAACATATATTTTTAAATTTTAGCTTCTGTTATACAACAAAAAGGTTTTATTTACAAAAATTGCTCATTTAGGCTAAGAAAAGGTTTCATTTATAGAAATTGCTCATTTCAGCTAAGGAAAATGACCTTGTATAAGAGTTTAGCATTTTATTTTATAACATTTTTAAATTTGATATGGACTAGTATCATGATCTACACCAACCTTTGTAAGGTGTTCTTCATTTTGACCTATTGGTCTTACGGTTTTATCTCACAAAAAACACTTTAAAAGTCAAAAGGTTTAGAGTTAACCTTTAAATACCTAGTATCACTCTAGTGCACAGTTGATGTGAGATTCATGACCCTCTCTAAAACCATGAAATCTTTCCTTGGCTCTCTACTAGAATCTTTTTTTAATGTGGGACTCATGACTCTATCCACTAGGAGCACATATTCTGTTTGATGCTGTGACATCCTCTCCCACTTCAACAAGGATCCATTGTCTTTAATGGCACTTCACTAGTACCCTAGAGTCTACTTTGATGCCAATTATCAAGGACTATGTCCTTTAGCTTAAGTACACAACATCCAATGCAATGTTTGGGTGGAATTCAATTATATCTAAATAAACACAAATTATAAACATGAGTTAGTTTATGAAAAGCAATAACAAAATCATAGAGCATAACGAATATCATATATACAACCACTGATTTCAAATAAAAGTAAAATGTTTTATTATTATTGAAAATAGATCACAAAGGAACCGAAAGTATAAATGCACCATCATTGAGCTATAGAGGAAGCCTTAGATAATTAGCCACTAACATACTTTAACTAGTAAGGCAACCTTACAATTTGTCTATTACTCATCCCTCTATAAAGAGCTAACAAGCTTTTACACCTATTGAAGAATGAGACTTGACTTTAAAAACCAAAGATAGGAAGTTAGTTTAGCTTTTTTCAATTTACTTATAACTGTTTATCAATTGTTTTTAGTTATTAGTTAATGCCAGTTTGTTTTCTCTTTTATAGTTATTTTCATGTTGAGTAGTGGGTTTATATTGGTCACATATTGTGGTCAAGTAAATGGTTATGTAAAACGTGCATACTACACGGTTATTTTGGTTTCTAGTGATGAGAAGACAAACTCATGGCTCCTTGATAGCGGATGTTCCAATCACATGACAAAATCAAACTATTACAAGAAAGACTGGGAGCTCATTAAGTCAATCTCAAAGAAGTGTGTTGAAGAATGAGACTTGACCTGAAGAACCAAAGATTAGGAATTAGTTTGGCTTCTTCAATTTATTCTCAATTGTTTTTAGTTTATTAGTTAATGCCAGTTTATTTTTTCCTTTATAGTTATTGTCATGTTGAGTAGTAGGTCTGTATTGGATAGAAGTTAGCAAATGTCGATTTAGTCAGTTTTTGGTTTTATTTTTTGTAAAGTCGACAAAAAAATTAATCTATTCTAACCTACAGAACTGCATAGTATCTAAAATCGATTCTGGTCGATTTTAAAGGGCTTCTGTTCGGTTAGTTTCGGGTTGGTTTTCATAATCTCCCAAGCTTTCTCTCTCTTGTTGTTTTCACAAAAAAACAAAATCTATAGTTTACTTTGCAGTGGCAATAATTTAGACTGATAATGAAGCACTAGTTGAAGAATGGAAGAGAACCCACTTGCTTGGTGGCTGTTAGTTTAAGGTTTAGTATGAGAGGGGGAGGTTGAAAGGGAAGGAAAAATTAAAAGGGTCAAGGGAAAGGGGAAATGATAGCAACAGATAACAAAAATGTTGCTTTAGGAAGAGTTTAATGAAGGGTAATTTTGTATTTTTGCCTCCTTAAAAAACAAAGCCTATTGGCTGATTAATCAATCAGTTCGGGAGGGAAGGAGTCCCCCTTGACGGTGGAGCCGTTCGATTGATGAGGTTGATCAAAACCACCGACGGTTGCGGTTGGTTGCTCGGTTGCAATCGAGCGCTGCACAGTGCTAGTATTGGCCACATGTGATCAAGTAAGTGGTTATTTAAAACATGCATATTGCACTTTCATTTTATTTTACATGCTATATTGTTTTAATGTTTTTCTCTTTCTAGTAAATGTATTTATAAGTGGTATTGTTGAATGAAAAGACTATAGAGAGACTTTGAGTCCAATTATATTTTCTTTTTTGTTCTAATTTTATTCTTCATCACTTAAGCGAATAATAGTTTGTAAACATAACAAATTCATTGAGATTTCCAACAACACATATGTCACCATTAATCGTTACAGTGTGTGAAATGGAGACACTCCTTTCTTTCCCTTAAAAACATAACATACTTTTATAAGTACACAACCAAGTATCATTACATTATTTAAAATGAAAACATTTGTCTTTAAAGCCCAAGAAATTTAATCTATTAGACAACTCTACCCCATTATAACCTTATACAAAGAGGCTCATGACAACTAGCATCAATCAAATTATGCTTCATTGTGTCCTTAATTTATTCTGCTATATGTTCATCGGACTGCAAAAATCAGAAAAATGTTATTCTTGGATCTACCAACCAATATGTTTGAGGCATCTTTGTCGTTTTCGTTGGCATCACTTTAAGGAATCTCTAAATTTCTGGTCTCACTTTGTGAGATTTTTCAATAATGAAAGTTTGGGCCTTAACAACACTAGTAACCCTAACCAAGTAACCTCTAATCTACTCTCATAGCAGAAATGAGAAATCCCTTCCGAAAATTGTCAGTTTGATGTTCCACTGCACACTATCATTAATCTAATAGCATGATTGCCATCCTTCAACATGTCATAAGGATAATGAGGATAGGATGGCAACGCAAAAAATTTTGAAATATTAACATGTGATCTCTCTATTTCCAATAACATTTGACAAGTTGTAATGCAATTACAACTATGGACATTAATACTTTTAGTACATATGAGGGAGTTCGAGAGGGGAACAAGGATATGAACCTAGGATTTTAACACTTTGAAAGAAAAGTATCAACTACTAGGCCAATCCTGCATTGTTTAGGAAATAGATAAATATTAGTAATTTGAAATCATAGATGCACATAGGATTCCTAATGAGGACAAACTTTTGTTCTATATTCATAATTTGTCACATGATAAATTTTTCTTATGTTTCTGCAGCAGCAAGTTCAGCATCTAGTGATTCCGCCGGTGGAGATCGAATCTGCAAAATGATTTAAACTGCAACAGCTGTGAATCCCATCTTGATCTTATTTTGAAGTATACACCATACAATGGAATTTTGAGATACATGTCATCATTTCAGAGCACTCCGAAGAACTGTGACAATGTTATTTTAGGAGAGAGCAATTCCTTAATTATGTACTTGATGTTGTAGCATGACTTGACTTGTTTGCAAGTAAGAAATCATGTATGCCTTCTCGTAATCCACTAGTAGAACAACAATGGATTGAGAGGCTAGTTAGGGAGGCAATTTGATGATGTTATTACTCCGATCAAGTCATCAGTATTGAATATCATAGATCTGCAATCATCTGCCACATGAAGATAGTTTAGAAATTTAAGTGCAAAGGCTAAAGGAATTAATTTCCAGCAGCCGTAGATCCTATTGAGTTGCACTCACATGTTTATTAGAAATAATTTATTTGCTTCCAAAAAAAAAAACTCAGAAATAATTTATTTATTTGCAACTTTGAGCATATGGCAACTTGTTGTATTTACTACTACTATAATCCCTGCAACCTAAAGCTGGTCGTGGTCTTTCTCCCTGGCCTTTTTATCTTCTTCTATGGCATTAATAATGCATGTACTTCCAAATATAGCTAAGGCATCCATGTGAAAGCTTTTTCTTTTCCCTCCAGAATATCAGGACATACAACAGGCATACTTCTTCTCTAGTGAGTAGTTCTTTTGAAATTTATAGTGTTTGGATATATATATATAAATATGGGTTAATGTCATGCCTAGATACTTATAACAAAAGAATCTCCTTTCATCTTAAGTATCTCCCACCTTGATTATTGCTTCAGGTAACAAATGGCCATCAACCAAGATGTTGAAAATGGTGAGAGCAGTGTGAAAGCTGAGATGAAAGAGCCACTATTGCAGCATACAAATATCAAAGATGGGGATGGCAAGTTCCACAAGGATTGTAACAGGAAAGGATTACTGAAAGTTGTTTTTCTAAGTACTTTTGTAGCAGTTCTGGGCTCCTATGAATTTGGCTCTTGTGTAAGTCACCGATCCTCTTTTACTTAACTAATTAGTCACATATACGAACACCAGACGCTTGAACTTCACAGTTATTGATGGAATACTTGACTCTTGATCACCTATGTGTGCTTAAACCAACTTGAATTGGCAACATGCTGGTTTGCGATGCTTCCTGCAAAACCGAATCTGTTCAAGGAGCTGTGAACCATTAAAAAGTTGTTACCATTACTCTGTAATTGCTGAGTACGCAAATGAATAGCATTCTTATTCAAACTTGTTTACTTTTTTCAGATGGGATATTCAGCACCTGTTCAATCTGCTATCACAAAGGATCTTGACCTATCAGTTGCGGAGGTTGGTTCAAGAATTTATAAGTTCTTTTCCCCCCAATTCGAACAACTTCAATTGAGTTGAAGTAATTCCATCCACACGCATGTTTAGGCCATTTATTTTCTTTTCTTCCTTGCTTCCTTTTTCTGTTTGGTGAAGTCTATTTACTTTTCATTCTGTGGCACTGTACCTGTAGGATATGAAAGGTGGTAAGTTCTCTGGGATGAGTTGTGTGGACACTTGCTGAAAATTGTAAGCCAGCTACCTCTCATCGAGAGAAAGATCTTAGTCATGCAGAAATTACATCACTTGGTATTAAAACCGAGTCCGAAGTATTGATCCTAATCTTATTCATAAATACTAATTCTACTATGCAGTAATACTAACCCTACGTACAGATATCTTGTGCGCAATTTTTCATAAATTTCAGCCAGGCTTTTCTGTTTAGTAGGAGTACATCCCTCTTAAAACTGCAACATCTGCTCTTCTAAGCCTAAGTGGACTTTTAGATGTAATCGTTGTGAAGCCTTCAGTCGAATGAAATCGTTAGTCAGGGGCACAGTAACTGGTTTTTACTGAAGAATGAGACTGACCTATCTAACTCAACTTTTTCTAAAGTCAAACTAATGCATTGATCAGATCATTTATCTTTTCTGATGAAGCGTCATCTTAGTGTTACTCCTCTATAAATTCTCATATGGATTCTATAACCTTTTCATTCCCACACACAGTTTTCAGTATTTGGTTCCATACTCAATGTCGGTTCAATGATTGGTGCAATCACAAGTGGGCGAATTGCAGACTTCCTAGGCCGAAAAGGGGTAACGCATAAAATTTTTAACATAGCCTTTCAATGTTTTTGCAAATATGAATGCGAAGAATGAATCCTATATTAACCCAATTGTATTTGAAAATGAATTAGGCAATGAGAATATCTTCTGTCTTCAGCATTACAGGATGGATAGCTATTTACTTCTCCAAGGTTTGTGTTTATACCAGCAGTTTTTGTGTCCATTTGATTTCAATTCTGAAGCAATATTCAAGCAAGATAAGTTTACATGTTCTCATTCTTATCTTTCTTTCCCTGCACAGGGAGCTTTGTCACTTGATATTGGAAGATTCCTTTCTGGATACGGAATAGGAATTTTCGCTTACGTCGTACGTGGTTCTACTGAATTTCTTCGTCTTCCTTCTGAGCTTATCGTCCTTACTGTGATTTGTAATACTTGAACAGGTACCCATATATGTAGCTGAAATCGCACCAAAGGATCTCCGTGGTGGGTTAGCGACACTGAATCAGGTGCATGAATCTGGAGCATATGATGAAAGCAAATGAAACAACAACGACTAAAGTAAACATTAAATGGGATATATTATTGTCTTAACCCGATCTTGTTCTGCAGCTCATGATCGTCATTGGAGCATCGGTAGCCTTCTTAGCAGGGACAGTTTTGAAGTGGCGACTGTTAGCTCTAACTGGTAGAATGTAGAACCAAGGATTGTCTATTCATTTAAGTCCCTTCAACAATATGTTTTGCTTATTTATTTATTCATTTTTTTTCTTTCTTTAAAGGAATCATCCCATGTCTAGTACAGCTTGTGGGTCTTATTTTCATCCCTGAGTCTCCAAGATGGCTGGTAAGCAGTCAAGTGCCAAAGAAACAGGCAATTGCATCCCTTTCAGAATAAGATTTTAATTTATTATTTCAGGCTAAGTCTGGGTACCGGAAGGAGTTTTACAATGCTCTGAGAAGACTCCATGGAGATGATGCTGATATTTCTCATGAAGCAGCTGAAATCCAAGTACTAACATTCAGCATTAGAATTTCAACATTTGTATTAAAAACAAGGTAGACATTAAGGTCACGAATTGAACTTCTTGACAGGATTATCTGCAAACTCTAGAGCACCAACCTAAAGCCAGTATGCTAGACTTGTTCCAAAGAAAATACAAGCAATCAGTCATTGTAAGCACCTGCCTTACCTAATCAGATGCAGACCGATACGTAATGAGCTTTTGTTTAGTAACTGATCATAAGTCCTACTTTATTGGTCATTCTCAGATTGGTGTGGGACTAATGATGTTTCAACAATTCGGAGGGATAAATGGAGTTGGTTTTTACGCAAGTGAAACTTTCACTTCAGCAGGTCACAAGATTAGCAAACTTGTTTTAACTGGTTTCTCTTGCACTCATTCTTAGTAAGTGCTGATCTCAAAGAATATTTTTCTATTGCAGGCTTTGCTTCAGGGAAAATCGGAATAATAGCTTTTGCCTGTATTCAGGTATCAATTCTCTTGTTTCCTTTAATTTTCAAGACACATAATCCAAGCCATAGCACCTAAATGAATGATTACAGATCCCTATAACTGCTGGCGGTGCATTCTTAGTGGATAACTGCGGAAGAAAACCCCTTCTGCTAGTAAGTTGCTGGTCGCTTACCACTTCAAAGTTTGCAACACCATAAGCCTTTTGTAGTTGAAACAGAATTCTTCTCTTTCAGGTTTCTTCAACAGGCACATTCTTGGGATGCTTTCTCACAGCAATATCATTTCTGATGAAGGTAATCACAAATGTCATCATGATTATGTCCTAATCATTGATCCTCAAGTCATCTTTACAGGGTTAATTTGCAGATGTTGAACACCTTATTCATTGCTTGAGATTAAATCTTGTGTCTCTTAACCTCTGTCATCTTGCTTCGTATATAGTTTATGCCATCCTTTCTTCTTAGCATGCTAAGTTCTTCATTCATCTCAGGAGCACAACTTTCTTCAAGAATGGATTCCATTGTTTGTGCTATGTGGAATGCTGGTAACAGATTTTATTAAGCTGAATAAGTGTTAGATAAGTCATACATCATTGTTTCATACAAAGACTGACGTATACTCTATTCTTGATTATAATATTGAAATTCAATCAGATCTTCATGGGTTCATTTTCAATTGGAATGGGAGCAGTTCCCTGGGTCCTAATGTCGGAGGTACATGCAGCTTGATCGTATATTAGTTTTATTCACAAGATATTCTTCATACCGATATTAAATCTCAGTGGCTTGAACTATATATGTTGTAACAGATATTCCCCATCAATGTTAAGGGGGCAGCTGGAAGTTTGGTGAATCTAATACATTGGTTTGGTGCATGGGCAGTGTCTTACACTTTCAACTTTTTGATGGATTGGAGCCCTTCAGGTGACTAGGTTTCTGGGGTCACTAGATATTAAAATGTGCCTAACTGATAAAATGTAAAGGCAGAAAAATAACAGCTGTTTCTTTTTCAGGTACCTTTCTTCTCTATTCAGGAGTTTGTGCAGCTTCTGTCCTTTTTGTGGCCAAGGTTGTGCCAGAAACCAAGGGAAGAACTCTGGAAGAAATACAGGCCTCCATGAATTCTTGAAGCAGTTGAGTTAATTGGGTCATGTTACGACATTATTTTAGGCAGTGGTTTACTAGTTTCAATTGCAAATCGAACTAACGAGCAGCAACATTATTTTCCCTTTTGTATTTTAAGTAGACAAATGATTCAGTTAAATAAGCCTGAAGGGAAAGACAAACTGGTCTCCCCCAAATACGCTGGGTCAGGTTAAAAATGGGCTTAAAAGTTTCTTTTGCTAACAACCCATCCCTTCTAGCAAACTGTGGCCGTCTAAATCCATTATTTGAGCCAACCCTAGTCAGTGCCTTGATTATACTGCCATTGCAACCTGTTGGAGAAATTTACAACCCCATAGTGGAGAGTTCATTAGTTGCAAACTGACCTCACTTTGGAGAGTTGAAGAATTATATCACGGGGCAATGCCTTCTCGGGTTGTGGGGAGGGATAGGGGTGTGCATGGGTCGGTTACAAAAAACCGACCAAAAATTTCTACAATATAACCGACCGAACCGCAATGATGTAAAGTCAGTTTCGGTTGATTTTTAAAAGGTCGGTTTTGATTATTTTTTGAAAGTGAGATCAATGGACCTACTTTACCTTCCAGTGACAGTTGATAATGGGAGACTAATAAGCAAGGGTGAAGGATGGTAGGTCAATGGCTGCTTCGGGCCGAAAGCAGGAAAGGTCGGGACTCGCAGGAGGGGGGTCGGGGGAAATCAGGTCTGGACTCGCTGGAGGGGGGGGGGCGGGGAATCAGGTCGAGATTCGAGGGAGGGGGGGAAGGAGTTAGGTCGGCGATGGGGGGAATTAGGTTGGGACTCGAAAGGGGGGGAATTAGTGAGGTCGGGGCGGGCCGATGGGGGCCCGATGGGTTTTTTTTTTAATTAAATTAAGTCGATTTTTCGATCAGTTCGGGGAAGAAGGAGTCCCCCCGATGATCGGCCTGATTAGTCGACGAGACCGATCAGAACAAACGTCGATTGTAACTATCGATTACAATAACCGACGGTACACTCCTAAGGAGGGACAAGTCCACAACCACAAAGGGAGGTTTATGGAGTTTGTTAAAAGGCAAGCTAATTAATCATAAACCAAGAAATTAGAACAAAGCTTGTCAATTGGGTTTAATTGAAATAATAAGAGAGTCCAGTGAAATTTGAGTAGAGATATTAGATTGGCATTGTAGTGTTGTTTGTTTTATAATGAAATTGGACTGAACTTGTATGATTAAGTATTGGAGTTTCAAAAAAGCAATGCTTGTGTGCAAACTAATTTCATCAGGACACTATGGGATCCAAGAAAATGTTCATTCAACAATGGCAAATAGTTTCAAAGAACAAATAAAGCCATTAGTTGATATCAACATTCAATTTCCTTTCAAATCAATATGCTATATGTGCGTGAACTCTAATCTATTGACCCATCTCTACCATAAAACAAAAAAAAAAAACACCATATCATCATTCTTTCATAATCAAAATATAACATCATCAACGACACGACATTTCTGTCAAAGACAATGTCACAAACTAACAAACCCGAACTACAAATACATGCACACCTATCATTCAAAGTTCAGCTGATCATTCCTTCACTTCCTTTCAACAGTCGACACAGAACTTAACTATTCTCAAGTCCCTTCAAGTTTCAATCAATAAGAAACACATGTTTCACTCTTTACAGACTTATTTCAGTTTCACAACCCCCCAAACATTTAAAAGATGAAGAAAAGTATTGGGTCAGTGATTAATAAATTTTAATGGCTATTGGTGAGACGGTCTCCCCTGAGACATCTTGTAAACGTGCTCACACCCAGTGCTGTCACCACAGGGAACCGCATAATGGCAAAACCATGGTCTTTTTTTTTTTCTTGTTAATTTTTATTCCATGTTTCTTCTGATTATCTCCTTCACCACTGTCACCACTGCTTTCAATCATCATTTTCTCTGGCCTCACTATATTAAATTTGGAGTTTGTCATTTATCTAATGCTTATGATCCCAATTAATTAATGCTTGATAGCATGCACTCTGACTCCATCCGTTTAATCCATTAAATACTATATATCCTATTAAGTACATACTTAATCCAATGGAACCATGGAATGCTCTTTCCACTCTCACATTTCTCTAAGTGGAGGGTTTGTTTTTTTTTCCCTCTTGTAATCAAATACTTATTAGTTTTCTTTTTCTTTTTCCTGATGAATAATCGGGATTGCATTAAACACATGCTCAAACTATATCGAGCATATTTATTCTGGGGTTAAGCAAAAATTAATCAGAAGCTTTCAACATGTAATATGTTATAAGTATACTAAATAATTATTTACTTACTACTCATCATTGACTTTGTAAATGCATTAAGATATAGTATAATTAGTCATTGCACTTTGATTTAAACAACAATTTGAATACCCATGACAAATTAAAGAAACAAAGGAATAATCAAGAAAGAAAACAAAAATAAGAAATGGCTAAGCCTTGGATTCTACGAAGTTTAGAGCAATGTGTTTTTTTTTTTAATTTTGAAATAAGAGGAATTCAGCTTCTAAAACAAAGAATACGTGCATATATTATTGAATTAAATATTTAAATAAGTGTTTTCTTTAATGGATTAAAAAAATAGAAAATAAATTAATTTATTGACGTGTTCACTTCATCTTTTGAAAAAAAAAATATAATTGGTATCTATATTAAAGTATGACTTAATGTTTATTTGTAAATAAAAAATTGAATTACATTGAATGAATTTCTTTAAAAAAAATTTTTAATTCTTTTTTTAGTTAGTATTGAATAGTTTATAAATTAATATTAAAAATGTTTTAATTACTAATAATTAATTATATATTTTTATAACAATTATTTAAAAAATAAATATTCATTTGCAACTCATGTAGCAATAAATATTATTATTTCAAAAAATATATATTTAATTAAACTATAATTAAAAAAGGGGAAAATAATGAGATAGGGGAAAAGAGAGAGAATAAAGCCAATGGATTCGTTCTTATCGTTTAGATTTAAGCATTGCATCAGCAAGGCTACGGAAAAAGGCAGTGGCTACTCATCAACACGTAGCTAGACGGGCCGGTTTTTTCTCGTCCACCACCACTGAAAATGACGGAATATTATGCAGAATTTGACTTTGTGAAACGATAAAAACATAATTGCATGACCTCGCCCTAATCTTCAATATGCATATCTCAGCTTTATTAGGGACAAAAACCAAAGGGTTTTCTGACTGTCCAATCACGCGCGTACCCAAATTAACGATCCCACTCGGGCCAATTCATGTACAGCTGACTCCTTCCAACAAACAAATCATCATCCCCTCCGTTCATGCCAACACAAAATCAACGGAGAAGTATCCATGTCTTTTATGTCTGCAATCAGATTAAAATATGGTACAGTGATAATATGTTTAACCCGTTTGTATATATCTTTTCTAAACAGTTTTAGGTTTTGAGTTCAAGATATTATACTATAGTGTTAAATAAGTTAGAAATCTTCGTGATTCAATTAATATTAAAAAGAGAGAGAGAGACAGAGAGAGAGTTTGTGAGTGGGTATATTCTTAACCTAACCATGTACTTTTTTAAAAAAAAAAATTATGGGCTTGTTAGATATAGAGGCTAGGTTCATTCGTTCAGCTTTTATCTATGCATATAGAATTCAATGTACAGTACTTTTTATTAGTGTGTCTTTAATAACGAAAAAGGATAAACACTTTGATCAAAGCTGATTGTGAGGCATGTGAAAGCTTGTTTTTATTCAAAAAAAAATTCTAAAAGGAGAATAACCTAGTCACTCCAAAGGCCAAACACATACAATGTACATAGTTAGGTAATGTTTTTCTGTTTTTTTCTTAAGGCAAGAAGAAACATAATCTTCCAAAGCCTTCATCACATTCATTGTACATTGTTTGTCTTCGATACCCCAAAAATTTTTTCCCCGCTTGGAAGTTGTTTCGTTATCGTCTAGTGGAGGCAAAAGGAGGGGAAATGCCAAAAAGAGGAACGGTTTTATTCTTTCTTTTTTTTTCCCTTTTATTTTTTTTTTGGGGGGGTGGGGTTTAGGTGTAATTAGATGAAAAGATAGTCTTTTCAGTGTATGAATCATTAAAAGTTGGCATGCAACCTGTGACTTGTAAGACACTTGGAAGTCGCTGATCTCTACTTTACTTTTAACTTTTTTTTCACAATACGAAAAGTTTAGCAAATCAACTAGCAGATTGGGTTGAAGAAAATGATGATAAAAGACAATTTGTTTTTATTTTTATAAAGTTGTAATAGTATTGATTATCAGTCGTACTAGAAATTTGGCCTCATTAGTGTAGGTGGGATTAAATTGTGAACAAAGATTAGTAGTAGGTTTGTATAGGTCCTCGTGCTATCATTGTTCTTGCCTTCATAATTTCTAATCCTTGTTGGACACTAGTGCCTAGGATTTCAATGGGCGAAAGATGGTTTGAGTTTTCAACAGGCGGCAGGCCTGCATGCTACTCTTTTCAGATTTCTCTAGACTGCCGCTTGTTTACAGGAGTTTTGTACGTTTAACAAGTGTTAAGCTGAACGCAAAACGAGTAATACTTTCTACTAATTGTTTTATATATCGTTTTAATGCATTCATTGACATTAGCTTATAGTTAAGTACGATTATCTTTTGGGAGTCAAAGGCATTAGATTAGCGTAGAGCAAGGAGGGAGCAGTCTTATCTTGTTGCAAAGTTAAACTGAAAATTTCCTATTCAATCTATTAACCAAGATTCAAATTTTAAAGCATAGGGTCTTAAATTGACATGGGTTTCATTCATATATTTGCTTTGGAGATTGTTTTTAGCTCTGCTTGTTTCTTTGTCTCGGTTTGAGCGGGTTATTTTTCCTCCCCTGCTCTATTGTTTTTGCTTTTGTTTCCTGCCCATCTTAGCGGTTTTCTTGTTTGTAGCATAAGATATCCTAGTTGAATGAGAATGCAAATGACAAACAAATAAAAAAAGAGGTTAAAATCCTAATTGAACTATTTATTCCTATTAAAAATGGGGTTTCAGTGACGGTTAACAAACTGGTTTTTGCATGTAAATACAAAGAAACTGTCCCTGTTAAGATTTGTATACTACGCCCATGACTAAAACATGGCATAGGTGTCGGAACTGTCAATAACTTTATATGCAAACCCATCATTTAATGGAGGTTAAAAAAACAAAAAGAAAGGAAAACAGTAGCCCTTGTGCAACCTATTCATCGTAGGAAAATAGTAGGTAGAAAAGGAAAATGAAATTGCCAGACTTCTATCAATCAACAAGAAAAATGTGATGATGTAAGTGTTGATGTTAGAAGGGAGGGCAGCCAGACCTTCAGAGGCAGCCAGCCAACGTCATAAACAGAGGATATACATTAGATTAATATACTTAACGTGTTCAACGTCACTTCTAGAATTCTTACTGTAGATAAATTTTTTCTTTTTTTTGGGGTGGGGGGTTGTGTGTAAGTGTTAGGGGGAGAGGGGCAGAAGCAGCCAAAAGCTGTTCCTAGTTGTTGACCTAACGCAGAAGCAGCCAAAACCGAGGTGGGCCGCACGTTAAATTGCTTTCGACCAAAAAAACAAACAAAATAAAAGCCCTCAATCCAAAAGATAACGAAGATAAATACGACTACTACACTTGGTACATAGCTAAAACGACGATAGAGAGCGACACGTAGTCTAAAGCTAGAGAAGAAAAAGAATACTAATTACTTGCTACTAAAATAATTAAAAGGAGGAAAGAAGAGAGAGGCGGAGAAAAAGAGAAACGAGCAATTGTAAAGCAACACGGCAGTGTTTGTTTGGTATGGGGTGTGCGTGGCACATGCTTAGCCACCTTCATATACGACAACAACTCTTCCTACTGCCTCCTGTCTTCCCTTTTTCTTTTTCTTCCATCTCATATTAAAGCATAAATGTGGGAAATTACTTTCTATTTATTGATTAGACTACCAAGATATTTCGAAAAGAATATAGAAGAACTCAAAGACATAGAACATACCATTTGGTTGCTACCATTTGGATTATATCGACTTATTTTGTAAGTTTCGTAAAGATTGAAGAAGATATAAGTATTTTCTTTCTTACACTTATATCATAAAATTGCATGTATGGGATTGTTTTTAACATGCACTATCATACCTCTTATGTTGGAGTTTTGATTTATTTTGGCTTTGTTTTGTCATCCTATCATCACCATCAATATCTAAAATCAATATTGTTTATTATAAACAAACTTTGGGTTATTCCTTTTTATATTGGCAAGAGACAAGGTCAAGGCAAGAAGAAAAAAGAAATAAAGGGTTGGATAGTTGGATTGGGAAAGATGGGGAGGAATAAAAGGAAATCTATGGCATATAGGCAATTGGGGAGGGAGAAAGTTTGGTATTCAAATCCAAAGAATCTTAGGAATACTATATTTGTTAGACTTTTCCCATCAAGGGAAAACAAATTAACCAATGGTCCCGATTGGCTTTAAGTACAAATAAGCATGTCTGCAACAAAGTACCCGGCGTTTTCTTTTTTGTTTGTTTTGTTAACATTTTTTTTTTGGCTCCCGACATCATAGCTTGGATCTTTTCATCAAACAAATCCAACGGCGGAGATTCACTGATAGGACCCACTTCCTATGTCACAGGAAAAATCTATCAATCAACCCCAAAAGCAAGCTGAAACGAGAGCACGTGGCAATCCCAGAGGGCTTATTGGCCATCATGGGGTCACGAACCCGTTAGGGGTCCCACCTCTGAGTGTGTTTTTTTTTTTTTTCCCCCTTCTTTGATCATCGTATCAACTTGTTGTGAGAATGAGACCTTTGAGGATTGGGGGAGTGTGTTCACGTGGGGCCCTTCAAATAATGGGAATGCCCACGGGATGCCACGTGTCCGTATCCCACGATGGATAGATATACACGCTCCCACGGAATACGACAAAATCCAAAGCCCACATAAGATGACCCCAGAAAGCAGAAACCCCCAAAAACAAAAAAAAAAGGGAAAATTCAAAAAGGAAAAAGCCTTCTTCCCCCTCCCCCAGGATCTGACAAAAAACATGCCGTCACGCGCTTTCCGCTACCAGACAAAACACGTCGTCCTCAGTGGCTGTTTCGTGGTTTTGACTGGGTTGGGGAGGGTACCTTCGGGATTTCCCGCGGGGGTTTTGGGCAAAAGAGTCGAGACGGAACCCTTTGTCGCCACGTGCCTTGGCGTCGGCCGCACGCAGGAAACTCTTGTCTCCTTCTTTTCATTTGTTTTTAGCGAAAATTTCTGGTCAGTACAGCTATTGCCAGGGCTAGGTTTTGGCTATTTCCAGAAACTGTCTGAAGTAGTACTTTCCCTTCATATTTTCTTTTTCTTTTTTTAATATTTTCCTTTGAAATACTGGTCCGAACCGATCCTATCGTCCAAGTTTCAAGTACAAATATTTATGGAATAAGGAATATTACGGCATCATGAAATTACCCCTTTCTTTTTTCCCTAAAAATAATAGAAATTGCATCATTTTATTTGGCTCTAATACTACTAACTAAGATCATTATGTCATTATCATTCTTCATTTCTCTCTTTAATTTTGTTCTACTTTTAAGATGAATTAATGTAATAAATTATCAACGTAAAACTAAATTTGATAAATTTTGATATCTTCTTACTAGCTGTTGGAGATAAAAGCACGTTTTCTGCCAAAAAAAATAAAAAAGAAACACATAAAATGATTAGTCAAAAAAATCCAAAACAAAGAAAAGAGGTCTGCCAATAGCCAAATATAAAAGTTTTCAACTTTCTGATTCACATAACATCATTAATTGAAAAAAAAAAAGAAAATGTTGGGTAGCAAATGGGAGTATAACAGAAAAAGGGGAATTTTCAATTATAAAAATTTAACAAACCCTATAACAAGAAAATAACAATATTCAATTAAAAAATATTTATATATAAAGAAAAACAAAAAAAAAAGGAAGTTCGTTTATAGAAGAAAAGAAATGGGAAGGGACATAGGGCCCACATAAACAGTTTAATTCGGCCGCCCCGCTTTGTCGTGTCTATCGTCTCCGTCCTCCTCCGTCGCTTCTCTTTCCCTATGCCCCCTTTGACTCTCCCAAAACATTTCTTTCCCCCTACACCCTCTCCTTCTGTGTATATTTTATGTACTTTCTTTGTTTAACAATAACAGAGATAGATAGATAGATAGATATATATATCTTTGCTTTCCCTCTCTCTTGTCTTTATTTCCTCTGTGTGGAGAAGTGTTCGAGAGTCTTTCTCTTTCTATTTCAATTTCTTTCTCTCTCATTTTATTTTCTTCGTGGCTCCTTATTTCAGAAAGGAAGTGTCTCTTCTTGTTCAGAAAAAAACCTCAGAACGAGGAATCAATCAAAAAGAGAAGGAGGGGAGAGACGCTTAGTACAAAGAAAAGACACCCCAAGAAACCTGATAAGAGAAGAAGGGGAGCATACACATACACGCTCTTACCTTAGTTTTAGTTGGAAGACAAAAGAAAAAGGAAAAAAAACAACGTTTGCTTTTGTTATTATGAGGCTGTCTTTGTGAAGATTAGTTTCATTTCCTTGGTGGGGTTCGTTCAAACCTTTTCCTTTTTGTTTTTCTTCTTGGGGTTATTGAGTCTGTTTTGTTGAGCCATGGCCGGAAGCAATGAAGTCAACCTCAATGAATCCAGGGTAATTTTTGTTTTTCTTTTTTCTTTTTTGCAGACAATTGGGGTTCATTTGGAAGCTTAAATGGTGGTTTGTTTTGTTTTTCAACATTTTTGGGTTTCTAGTAAGTTGATGTTATGGTAGATTTGACTTTCATTTCGAGCAAATGAAGTTACTTTCTTTCCAACTCGGGTTCCAAAGATTTGACCTGTGTTCAGGGGTGTTATTGTTGGTTTTAACCGAATTTTTGTCTAATTATGAGCTGTTGTTAATGGAATTATTTGTTGAATTGTTTTGATTTTACTTTTGTTTTCTTCAAAAATGTTAATGTTGGGTTTGAGTTTGTTGTCCTTATAACTTAAAGTCTGAAATGTTGAAGAATAATTTGGTTCAAGAAAAGGTTCGAAATTCAACTTTGATTTGAAGAATTTTGAAGTTGTATTTTGGCCCCCACTGCTTCTTTTCCATTTTTTTCCTTTTTGGTGCTAAGTTTATATTCCTCATCCCACAA